CCATCAATTCGCGCCCACGTCATGGTGCGCCACCTCATCCTGCTGCTGCTCGTCCTCTCCATCCCCCCAACCCTCCCTGACGAGCCAGGCGTCGAAGAGGCAACTGCGCAAACCTGAGCTTTTGGAGCTCCGCGCGGATTTCTGGGATCGTCGCTGGGCCAGGCGCCGCACATGGCGCCCTCCAGGCGCTGCACATGGCGCCCTCCGCGCGCAGGGGGGGGGACCCTTCACAGATCCAGAACTTCGCGTGGAGCTCCGAGTATTGACGTTCATGCAGCTGTCTAATGTACCCATCCCCCACGGTGTTTCCCAGACAGTCAGTTTTCGCTTGGGTCCATCGTCTCGGCTATGTGTTGGCACAAGGGTCTTGAAACGCCTTCGTTTTGGAGGGGTACCCTGGCGCTCTTTTCGGGGCACTCCACCTTGGAATGTCTTTCATTGAGGGTACCTTCACGGTGCAGCGACTTGTTCTGGACCCACAGAATTGTGGCCTTGCTTCCAGGGAGTGTTTGGAACTGCTTGGTGGTCCTGTTGTAAGTATCGAGCCAACGCTGAGTCATTTTAGGCAGCATCGCGGCCATCCTGGGCCATCCCAGAGACTCTGGGCCGGGCCTTTTGCGGGAGCGTTCGCGAGCTCGCGCCACCCGTCCTTGGCTCCCACTGTTCCCTCAGGGAGGGTGCGGCAAACGGGTTGGGTGGGCAGTCAAACAATCAGTAGTTCCAGGCGGCTTCTCGTCCCTACTAGTGAATTTTGACGGTCCAGTCTTCGCGAGATGTCTGCAGAGTAAGCTCGCGTCCATCTTCGGACTGGGTCCCACCATTTTTCTGGCGGCCCCGTCTGGCAACTTCGAGTCCCCGAGTCTGCTGGCAAATTGCTCTGGCCACGTGCTGCAATTGTGCGGCGCCGAGCTGCGTCGCAGCAGCACCACCACCGCTGCCACCGCAGGGCTGGCGCGCGGTGTCTTTCCTCGGCTCGGTGTGTGCCGCTCGGCCCCATCCCCTGCAGAGCTGGCGCGAGGTTCACCAGCAACACCTTGGCTTTTACGGGGTGCCCTCGTGTTCCTCATGGCTGGGCTTCGCCTTGGCGTGCCGTTCGTGCTCGTCTTGAGTACATCCATGGGGCCGTGGTCTCTTCGCAGAGGGCACGCTGCCGCAGCCGCCGCCGCCGCTGGTCGTCGTCGTCGTCGGTCGTCCGCCGCCGCCGCCGCCGCTGGTCGTCGTCGTCGTCGTCGTCGTCGTCGTCCGTTGTCCGTCGTCGGTCGTCGGTCGTCGGTCGTCGTCGTCGGTCGTCGTCGGTCGTCGGTCGTCGGTCGTCGTCGTCGTCGTCGTCGGCGGCGTCCGGCGTCGTCTGCGCCCTCGCGGCCCTGCTCCGACGGCAGCCGCTCCGGTTCCGCTCCCTGGCCCAGCGCCCGGCGGCCGCGCGGCCCTCGCTGCATGGGCCTGCCGCCGTCAGCACGGCCCCATGCGGCTGCGGGTGCGCGAGCACGCCGCCGGCAGCGGAGCCGTGCCCCGGCAGGCCTCGCCCCTCCTCGGGCGCCTCGCCGTTCATCAGGAGGGGAATAAACACACAGACACAATTATTCGTCGACTCCCAGAAAATATGGGAAAATATGGGAATTGGGCGGGAAGACAAACACCCAGAAAATATGGGAAAATATGGGGCATCTTTTTATTTGTGTGTATTTATTTGTGTGTCCCAGTTCCCCTTCAGTTCAGGGGCAGCGATGGGGGGGGGACAGGCATGGGGGGGGGATGCCTCGACCCCCCCAATCGCCCACTGATCGCCGGCAGGGGCCCGACAGCCCCGAGCTGCCCAGGAAGGTGCGGATTCCCCCTCGGAGGCCCGTCGCCGATTTATCGGCGATGTATCGCCGGTTCCAGGTCGATGCATCCCCCCTAATTGTGCCAGTCCCCCCTTATCGTTGCCCCTCGGCCATGGGGGAAGCGGGCCTTGAGGGAAGCGGGTCCTCAGGTTTTTGTCTGCCGTTTTCGGGTCCAGGGAGCGTCCGCGAGCAGCCTGGGCCGAAGAGCTGGTCCCGAGGGGGGGCCCGAGCTCCGGGGCCCGTTTCCTGCAGGAGCCGCTTCGCCAATGCTAGGGGAGTCGGCATCGTCAGGCCCGTTCATACCCCTCGTGGGCCAGGGTTCCTTCTGGGCCTCAGGCCTCCCAAGGGGGGCCGCCGTGGACTGGGTCGAGGGAT